ATTATTAAATGTGTTCATGCTGATATCTGCAGAAAAACGGTACTCTTTGTGTGATATAGATTAAGTTAACTATATTAAATTATATAAATATAAAAAACATACAGAAGCATTTTTGCCGTCTACAATTTAGAATGCCTGGAATTTTGAGTTTTAATAGACTAATAAATCAACGTGCGTGCACTCTGTGTGTGATTTGGTGATATAGCCTACTTGATAACGTCAGATAGCACATCATTACAACAACACTTACCAACAAAGTGACGAAACGCGCTGTGTAGAGCAGTTTGTCCGTTTAGGGCTACTGTAGAAACATGGTGGCGACTTCCATGTAAGGGGACCCGCGGTGCATGTAGATATAAATTGCGCAATCTAAGGTAATAAAAACATAAAGGTTCATTCAAGTAAGGTCTTTATACACCTCTGAAAACATAGTTAAGTATATTATATTGCATTTCTGTCAATAGATCGATGTAAATATTACACATTGCACCTTTAAGTACTGTAACGAAGTATTATTACTTCGTTACATTACACCACTGCCTACGGATCAATAGATTTCATCATCGTACAGTCAGCATGCATGTCGTACCCAAGTTTATTAGACCCATGTCGCACAGTGTGAGTTGCAATGATCTTATAGGATTGCAAAAATCATGCAGTGTGTAGAAGGCTTTAGAGGGCAGCCACTGAACAAGGTCACTGAATTTAAATATCTCGGTTCGCTCATCAGGAGCGACGGTGACTCACAAGGGAGTTATTTTATGTCGTAGAATAAAGCGTGACAATATCTTGAGCTTGTGTGAACCACAGACTTTAACCAAAAACCCATAGTGCTAAAATGCGAACCCATTTCTGGGTTTTGGCCTACAACAATACATCATCCCTGTAGCTCTATATTACATGCACAAATATGGCATTACCCAGATAATCAATTCGAGACAAGTGAATGTCAGTGGAAATTACAGTTCATGGACCATATGAAGTGTTGCTTCGGCAGCCGATGAGTCAGTCTCTACATCCTATCCAGTGAACAATACACAGCTACAAGTTTAAAAGACCCTTCAGTGGCTTGCTGCTGCCCACCACAGTGTGGAGGAAGGGCTCTTAATACTCAACAATACTGCGCTGACTGGTTGGGAGAACGTGTGACTAAGGGGTCAATGGTTAGCTAGTGTGGGCTACATCTGTGCAGACAGATTCCCTCTTCAACCCTAAACAATCTGTTCGACCATTCAGCTCGCCATCTCTGTCTGTTTGGACCGTAATACATAAATGTGGCCCAAACATTCATGCATGTGCTGCACAGCTGATGCTCTCTCTAGTTAGGAAACCTCGTCATGTCCTCTTTCCAGCGTTCCTCCTGTACCGTATCTGTTTATCTCTGTCTTTTCGAATGAGGGCTTTGGCTCTGTTTCTCAAGTGCAGGCTCAAGAGGCGACATCAAAGCCGCAGTGGGTGTGCAGCTGGGATGAAAGGCTTGGTCCTCACCAGTGAAAGAGACGAGAAAGCTTGGCCAGTGGCATCACTGCCATGTCGCATTTTGTTATGCAGCATGCTGCCAACATTCTGATGTGCACTGAGATGTGATTATATGGACTGATGTGTCTTTTAAGAGAATAAATCTTCTCATAGTCTGAAAAAGCACATATTGTCCAGTACGTTTGATCTTGGTCTTGTTGAGTCACTACAGATAAATTGTATGGTCTGTGCTGACTGGTGTATATGATCTGCTCTGAATCATCCCTTTCTTGACATGGACTCAACCTACTCGTGGCCTGGCCTGGACTCAGTCTTGAATGAGCTTGTCTCCACTACAACACTGTTATCAAGTGATGGTTGGAGTGCTACAACATTGTGCATCATTGAGCTGTCTGTCCAATATGTGTGACTCTTGTTAGTATGGTCATGTGGTGTGTTCAAGCCCTCAAGGAAGTTTTACAAGTATTTTACGAGTATTTTATGAGAAGTATTCATGAGTTTGGAAGTCATTTTGGTCGGAGCAAGATGGTGATGTACCTTTTCTACCAAAAATTAAGCTTAAAATAATGAATAATGAATAAAGAATGTGCATCAGGGGTGTTTTTGCTTCACAGTAACTTCTTTTACATTAGTACAAACTGCACTTTTTAAAAGCATGTTATCCTTAAATGTGTTAAGAAACATAGTCATGAAAGTGTACTTGTGAAAGCGGTGTTTTAAGTACATTTTAACTGTATGCACTTACATTTAGCACTACAGTTGCACAACAGGGTGGTAATGCTAAGTTATGAGTTATGTAATCAGATTACTTTTTCAAGTAACTAGTAAAAGAGTGCATAACTTTTAAATTTACAATGAAACATCTGAGTTACAAATAAGTAGTTTAAGTTACATTTATTCACTGTCTCCTATCCCCATGTTAAGAGAGGTTTTTTATTTATTTTTTTTTTTTTAAATAAATAAGCAAGCCCAGCTCAGGTGACGAAAAGTAATGCATTACTTTCCATAAAAAGTAACAAAGTAATGCAATTAGTTACTTTTTATGGAGTAATGCAATATTGTAATGCATTACTTCCACAAAAAAAAAAACTTCCCCAAACCATGGTTAAGTTACATCAACTTCACATAATAAACCACAAGCAACATAAAGCCCTCAAACAAACATACCTGTATTAGTTACAGGAGGATATATATATAGGTTTTTTTTGACTAGTAGCTACATACGCTGATTATATCGCAGTATCCAGTACTCTAACATACCACATCATTTGGGAAAGTGTGCATCAGTTAAGTAAGCAACTATGTAAACATGTATTATGCCGTTGATATGTTACTGGGCCGGTGTGATTAGCTCCAAATCCAAGGATAAACGTTCACCACCTGTCTGTGTCCAAACAAAGAGCTTTTAACACATTTCAATCACTACTCCCACATTAGCCTTCCAGGGTCAGGGAGTTTCCACATGCTAATGGAAAGTGATGCAGGTTCGAAATAATAATATCACAAACCTCAGAGATAAACACAACCGAATAAATGTTTATTGCGGCAGATACGATTGCATAAATTTTCACCGCTACAGAACTACAAACTGTGCATTCATTCAGAACTGCTTATACTAACTTATATGCTTTCTCACATACCCCTACTAACGAAAATGAGTATTTTGGCACTCAACAGCTGTATGATTGGAAAGGATCTTTGTGATAGATTGGGCCCGTCTCAGCTAATTGTATTTATCCCCTCTAATGAAGCCATTACAAACACTTTGCTACAACTTGAAGTAATGAAGGCTCATCCTTCATTCAGTCATCCAGGATGAATCACAATCTAGTGCATAGTACTCAATGCAACTAAAGGTCAGTAAAACCACAGCTGTAATTAGTAGCGTGTGCTGCTGGGCAAATGCAGAGGACACTGAAGGCAAAAAGACAGGGCGAATATCCTGCTTTTAACGTCTAAATACTAAAACGAGCTCATCATGCTGGACATTGCAGGATGTGCAACCCAAAGCATCCATCAGTCATGGGGAAGCCCGTGCAGCGCGTCACAGCAGCATCAGCACCAGCACCGAACACAGCTAAGATGAACAGCACAGTCTATACATGCCACTGATGCATTTCATCAACAACTAACATCAGTGGGCAATGCATCAGTGTTTCTCGATAATCCCTCCGCCATGGTCAAATCAGATATCTCTGCGGTAAAGAGACACGGTTTTGCTGCACATGGCGTCTGTATCACTCACCTGTGCTGTTCGTATAAACGACACGAGTGTCGGTGAGGATGCTCGGGTCACTGTGAGATCTCCCTCTCTGCACAACGCAATCTTCTGATCCATCTGATGTGGCCATGGAGATGAGAGCAGACGGTAGAACACAGAGAAGCCGATCTGCGTGTGTGGATATGAGCAGCGAGCGTGCCGCGGCGGTGGATGTGATTCAGTTTGACAGCAGCAGCAGCAGCAGCAGCAGCGCTGGAGGAGGAGAGCAGTGCGCCTGCCCTGCGTGTGCTGCTGATGATGCCTGAGGCGCATCTGGCCACAAGATCGGGGTTTCACTTGCATTCATTAGCATTGTTATTAATTTGATGACATAAGTGGTTTTAATGTGTGGACGAACATCAAGTCGGGTTTGTGTGTTTTTGCGTCGTCATATGTCATGCAATCAGCGTTATCTGAAACAGATTGAAGAGAAGAGTGTTACAGTGATTTGTCAGAGGAATTAAAGAATAGTTAGCATGTGTCGCCCTCTTGTGGGCTCTTTATGATAGTGGCGGAGGAGCCACACAGACGTCTGATGCTGAGAGCCGAAACTTTCACCAGCATTTGAAGTGACAGAATCCATCAGATCAGACTGACTCAGAAATGTTTGGGCAGATTAAAAGTAACACACAAGGCAAAATATTGTGGGTTTTCACATAGGAAAGAGAGACTCATATAGGCCTATTTATCATATTCTTTTTTTAGCTAACGTTTCCCAAAAATATTTCCGATTGCTGAACATTCAAAACGTCCAGTTTTTAGTGTTTTCAAAATATATTTCTTGGTTATGCAAATGTTATAGACCTAGAAAACGGTAAAGTTCCATTCTATAATTTTGCACACAGACGTCTGATGCTGAGAGCCGAAACTTTCACCAGCATTTGAAGTGACAGAATCCATCAGATCAGACTGACTCAGAAATGTTTGGGCAGATTAAAAGTAACACACAAGGCAAAATATTGTGGGTTTTCACATAGGAAAGAGAGACTCATATAGGCCTATTTATCATATTCTTTTTTTAGCTAACGTTTCCCAAAAATATTTCCGATTGCTGAACATTCAAAACGTCCAGTTTTTAGTGTTTTACAAATATATTTCTTGGTTATGCAAATGTTATAGGCCTAGAAAACGGTAAAGTTCCATTCTATAATTTTGCAAACATTTTTGAATGTTCTCTAGAACTAGTTCTGAAACTAGTAGTATCGTTTAAAAAAACGGTAGATGTCCAAGCAAACAAACAAACAAACAATAAATAACCCTTCCACGAACGATGTAGGCTATAAATAATGCTTTTGTGGACGATATTGAAGATAGGTAGCCTATCTTTGAACAAATGTTCTATTAATGTTACTGGAACGTTTGTTCATCACTTTAAAAGAACCTTTACAGAATATTATGTAAAACAAATATTGTATAAACATTAAATATATATATTTTTTAAACATATAGCTATATTACACACTATTTAGCTAGTTCTACATATTATAAAGATTCAGAAGATTTAAGGACACAGTATGTTGTAAAATTACAAAGGTAATTGTTTTTGTTATATCAGTCTTTTTTTCACATGCATTTGACCAACAGATGTCCTCAGCGTGCGGTGTTCCGACCACAAGTTCGAAACAGTGAATCATGGTTCAATTGATTCGATGATTCGGAAGGATTCATTTCTCCCATTACTAATGCAATTTTTTCCATTTATATGCACCAATATAGAAATACGTAGCATTATTTACCAAAATATTTCACTACAACATTTAAAGAATGTAACACGCCACGTGAACCTTTCTGCGCAAGTGAATCGTTTAGGGGTTTTGAATCGCTTCGGAAGAGATCCGCCCTCCACACAGATACAGTAAAGATGGCTGAACGCGGTAGTGAATCTCGAGTTGATATTATTGTAGCGAACCATGTGTCTAAAAATGAAGCTGACCTCAGAAGTGTTCTGGTTACAAGTGTTTTGAATTTAGACAAGCTCGACACCGACCTGTACAGGTAAACAAATCAAAATATAATGACTATATTAGAGTTACTGTATTAGCACCACAGTACAACAGGAATCTGAATGAGTCATTTCGCTTAGTATTGAAAGCCTTTCCACACACACTAACAAAAAGTGCCATGCTTTTCTTTCTCACAGAGGGACACATCACTGGGTTCCTCGCACTAAACGCCTGTTCGGGGGCCAGATTGTTGGACAGGCTCTTGTAGCTGCAGCCAATTCTGTCAGTGAGCATCTCTTTGCCCATTCACTGCACTGCTACTTTGTGAGAGCAGGTACATTCTCTAATTACATATAGGCTTATGCATATGGAAAGTGTGGTTTTTCCTTTTTTCGAGAAGCCTACCCATACATACAAAAAAAATATATATAATAATAAAAAAATATCGGTCCTGCCTTCGGTTGTGCAGGAACATACTATTGGGCTTTTTTTCTCAAGCATTGTGTGTTCCAGGGGACCCAAAGGTGCCTGTGTTGTACCAGGTGGAAAGGACTCGGGATGGCCGCAGTTTCTGTGTGCGATCTGTCAAAGCTATTCAGCACGGTCAGCCCATACTGATCTGTCAGGCGTCGTTTCACATGCAGCAGCCGAGTCCACTGGAGCATCAGTTCAGCATGCCCTCGGTCCCTCCGCCGGACACACTGCTCACCGTAGAGGAGCTCATTCAGCGCTACCTCAGGTCTCAGCCAAAACAGCGTGTTTGCCATGGCGCATCGTTTTAAATGCTGCACTTTTATGCTTGATTTTCTTTTTGTTTTACAGCGATCCAAACCTGGCAGACAATACACGACAGGGTCTGAATAAAATACTTGCTGATGAAGTTCCTATAGAGATCAAGCCAGTCAACCCACCTGATTTTTACAGGCGTGTTGCCATGGAACCAAAGAAATTATTCTGGGTGCGAGCAAGAGGGCATATAGGTATAACGAGCATGTCATCCAGCCACTTCTTTACAGTAAAAAACACTTATAATTAGGGTTGCAAAGAGGTGGAAAATTTCCGGAAACTTCCCAAAAATCCCTGGAATGTTCCAAAAAAAAATCCTGGAAAGTTTCCAAAATTTCTGGAATGTTTCCGAAATTTAATGGAAATTTTCCACCTTTTTGCAACCATGCTTATATTGATGCCATGTGCAATATAATTAAGATGCTGTGAGAGGTTCAAATTAAAGTTGCGAGATTGTTTTTCTTTTCAAATGGATGAACCTCAAATTATTTTTTCATCGTTGAGGGTTCCCGCAGTCAAGAAAAAAATGAAAATACCAGGGATTCCCTTGTGAAAAAGAAGTACACTTCTGCACACTTTTTATGGAAATAACATACTTTAAAAGAATATACTTAAGTGCAAGCCGAATGTAATGTTTTCGAGAACTTAGTTGCATTTTAATTAGAATTAAATGAGAATGTATCATAGTTTAAATTTATATCAAATGCAGTTAGTTACAATTTAGAGTGCTTTTTCACGTTAGAAGGATTTCATTTTATTATTTTTATTAAAAGCTTTTATGGTAAACTAAAATATATTTTAATGTAATTCCTATCAAAATTTTTATGCCATTTATTTAAATATATTTATAATGACATGTTAGATGTGATGATTTTTTTAAATATACACTTATATATTTAATTATTTAAAGTTCCCTACAATTGCACATTCAATACAGTTAAGCACACTCCTTCTTTTTCATGAGGGTTTTTAAACTGCATGCCAAAGACAGAAGTGGAATTTAATTAAATCTTTACAGACATCTTGACAAATCCTATTGTGAATAAACATTTGTTTTGGCTACATTTTGCTCTGAAATATTAGTTGTTAAAGTGCAATCTTTAAAATGATCATTTATCTTATCTAAATCATCTTATATAATTACCTTATCTAAAAATCTCAGTCATGTATTAAGTGGTGTACAATCAGATGAACAGCCAATATTGTAAGACAAAATCCTGATCACCCTCGTGTGTTCATTTTAGATAATGAGCAGCTGACTCTATGTTACTTATTTAACATTTCATAATTTTGTATTGTGTCGTGTCTCAGGACCTGGTGATATGAAACTGCACTGTTGTGTGGCAGCGTACGTATCGGACTACTCTTTCCTGGGCACGGCCCTGTTACCTCACCCGAATCACAGGGCCCAGTTTTCCGCCTCGCTGGATCACGCCATGTGGTTTCACAGCACATTCAGAGCAGACGAGTGGATGCTGTATGAATGCGAAAGCCCGTGGTCAGGTCAGCAGTTTATGCAAGTTTATGGAGTTCCTTAGGAACGAACATGTGCCTGATGACTTGTCTAGGATGGTATATGATAATAAGAAGAACTTGTGATCTGTGAATGTTTTAATATACCTTTATTTCCTATAAGGAGGGAGCAGAGGTTTCGTCCAGGGCCGCTTGTGGAGGCAGGATGGCGTTCTCGCAGCTTCCTGTGCACAAGAGGGAGTGATACGAGGGAAGACTGTTTCTCAGAGTAAATTATAGAGGATTCAAAATATATTACTAAATAGTATCAGATTCTTGAGATGCCTTACAATTAGTGCTGTCAAATTATTAATCGCATCCAAAATAGTAGTTTTGCTTAGGCTGCGTCTGAAAGCCTATTTATTAAGCATATATAAATACACACACATGCATTTAAGAAAAATATATTGTTTATATATTAAATATATTTATATATAATATAAATTATATGAATATAAATCCATACATGTAAATATTTTCAATATATATATATTTACTGTATGTGTATTTATATATACATAAATATACTATATAAACTACATAAAACTTATTTTGGATGCGATTAATTGGGATTAATCGGTTGACAGCACTACTTACAATAGTTTTTTTGTTTATTTGTCATAATTATTACAACGCACAATCAATGTCAAGATTGCATTTGGTCTGCAGTGCTATAGAATATGGCAGTATATGAAATAACAACACTTTATGATTTTCTTTTTTGTCCCTTATGCTAAACTGAATTAGATTAATCCTGTTTAAAAGTGTACATCATAAATGAGGAAATGTCTTTGCAACTGAGTGTATATTTAACAATGGGATTTAGCATCTTCATTTTTGCAGTTTTGTTTAGTTATGACCAAAACACTTGAAGTCTTACATGACAAACTCCAGTTATACAGCGAGTTGTACATTTACAGGCGCTTTAATTATTTATATCATTATTTATAATTATTATCAATAAACATAACAATCTGAGGTTGTGTTGTACGTTTTGTTTCTTTGTTTTTTGTGTGTGTGTGTGTGTTGTATGTTTCTTTGTTTTGTGTGTGTGTTGTTCGTTTGTTTTTTTTGTGTGTGTGTGTGTGTGTTCGTTTGCTTTTGTGTGTGTGTGTGTGTGTGTGTTGTACGTTTGTTTGTGTGTGTGTTGTACGTTTGTTTGTTTGTGTGTGTGTTGTACGTTTGTTTGTTTGTTTGTTTGTGTGTGTTGTACGCTTGTTTTGTGTTTGTGTGTGTGTGTGTTTGTTTTTTTGTGTGTGTTGTATGTTTTTTGTGTGTGTGTGTGTGTGTGTTGTTCGTTTGTTTGTTTTTTGTGTGTGTTGTATGTTTGTTTTTTTGTGTGTGTTGTACGTTTGTTTTTTGTGTGTGTCTGTTGTATATTTGTTTGTTTTTTGTGTTTGTGTGTTGTATGTTTTTGTGTGTGTGTGTTGTACGTTTGTTTGTTTGTTTTTTTTTGGGTGTGTTGTACGTTTGTTTGTTTGTTTTTTTTTGGGTGTGTTGTACGTTTGTTTGTTTGTTTTTTTTTGGGTGTGTTGTACGTTTGTTTGTTTGTTTTTTTTTGGGTGTGTTGTACGTTTGTTTGTTTGTTTTTTTTTGGGTGTGTTGTACGTTTGTTTGTTTGTTTTTTTTTGGGTGTGTTGTACGTTTGTTTGTTTGTTTTTTTTTGGGTGTGTTGTACGTTTGTTTGTTTGTTTTTTTTTGGGTGTGTTGTACGTTTGTTTGTTTGTTTTTTTTTGGGTGTGTTGTACGTTTGTTTGTTTGTTTTTTTTTGGGTGTGTTGTACGTTTGTTTGTTTGTTTTTTTTTGGGTGTGTTGTACGTTTGTTTGTTTTTGTGTGTGTTGTATGTTTGTTTGTTTTTTGTGTGTGTTGTACGTTTTTTTGTTTGTTTTTGTGTGTGTTGTACGTTTGTTTGTTGTTTTGTGTGTGTGTGTGTGTGTGTGTGTGTGTTGTACGTTTGTTTGTGTGTGTGTTGTACGTTTGTTTGTTTTGTGTGTGTGTTGTACGTTTGTTTGTTTGTTGTTTTGTGTGTGTGTGTGTGTGTGTGTTTTGTACGTTTGTTTGTCACCTTGCTGGACTGACATTGAATCATCTATAGGCGATTAATACATAATTTTAAACCTCAATTTGTACATTTCATTCTGTCCTTTGCTCCTTTAATGACTTTTAAATGGTTATGCATCTTCACACGCACACATTTACTTAGCTAAATGGAAATGTGCCATATACTTCTGTTGATTTTATACATTTTATTTTATCGTTTGTTTGTTTGTTTGTTTGTTTGTTTGTTTTTGGTTTTGTGTGTGTGTTGTACGTTTGTTTGTTTTTTGTGTGTGTTTGTTTGTTTGTTTTTTGTGTGTTGTACATTTTTTGTTTGTTTGTTTTTTGTGTTTGTGTTGTTTGTTTGTTTGTTTGTTGTGTTGTGTGTGTGTGTGTGTGTGTGTGTTGTACGTTTGTTTGTTTGTGTGTGTGTTGTACGTTTGTTTGTTTTTTGTGTGTGTTGTACTTTTGTTTGTGTGTGTGTGTGTTGTGTGTTTGTTTGTTTTTTGTGTGTGTTGTACATTTGTTTGTGTGTGTGTGTGTTGTACGTTTGTTTGTTTGTGTGTGTGTTGTACGTTTGTTTGTTTGTTTGTGTGTGTGTTGTACGTTTGTTTGTTTTTTGTGTGTGTTGTACGTTTTTTTGTTTGTTTGTGTTTGTGTTGTACGTTTGTTTGTTGTGTTGTGTGTTTGTGTGTTGTATGTTTTTTTGTGTGTGTGTTGTACGTACGTTTGTTTGTTTGTGTGTGTGTTGTACGTTTGTTTGTTTGTGTGTGTTGTACGTTTGTTTGTTTTTTGTGTTTGTGTGTTGTATGTTTTTTTGTTTGTTTGTTTTTTTGTGTGTGTGTTGTACGTTTGTTTGTGTGTGTGTTGTACGTACGTTTGTTTGTTTGTGTGTGCGTGTGTTGTACGTTTGTTTGTGTGTGTGTTGTACGTACGTTTGTTTGTTTGTGTGTGCGTGTGTTGTACGTTTGTTTGTGTGTGTGTTGTACGTACGTTTGTTTGTTTGTGTGTGCGTGTGTTGTACGTTTGTTTGTGTGTGTGTTGTACGTACGTTTGTTTGTTTGTGTGTGCGTGTGTTGTACGTTTGTTTGTGTGTGTGTTGTACGTACGTTTGTTTGTTTGTGTGTGCGTGTGTTGTACGTTTGTTTGTGTGTGTGTTGTACGTACGTTTGTTTGTTTGTGTGTGCGTGTGTTGTACGTTTGTTTGTGTGTGTGTTGTACGTACGTTTGTTTGTTTGTGTGTGCGTGTGTTGTACGTTTGTTTGTGTGTGTGTTGTACGTACGTTTGTTTGTTTGTGTGTGCGTGTGTTGTACGTTTGTTTGTGTGTGTGTTGTACGTACGTTTGTTTGTTTGTGTGTGCGTGTGTTGTACGTTTGTTTGTGTGTGTGTTGTACGTACGTTTGTTTGTTTGTGTGTGCGTGTGTTGTACGTTTGTTTGTGTGTGTGTTGTACGTACGTTTGTTTGTTTGTGTGTGCGTGTGTTGTACGTTTGTTTGTGTGTGTGTTGTACGTACGTTTGTTTGTTTGTGTGTGCGTGTGTTGTACGTTTGTTTGTGTGTGTGTTGTACGTACGTTTGTTTGTTTGTGTGTGCGTGTGTTGTACGTTTGTTTGTGTGTGTGTTGTACGTACGTTTGTTTGTTTGTGTGTGCGTGTGTTGTACGTTTGTTTGTGTGTGTGTTGTACGTACGTTTGTTTGTTTGTGTGTGCGTGTGTTGTACGTTTGTTTGTTTGTTTGTTTGTGTGTGTGTTGTATGTTTTTTTGTTTGTTTGTTTTTTGTGTTTGTGTGTTGCACGTTTGTTTGTTTTTTGAGTGTGTGTGTTGCACGTTTGTTGTTTGCAAAATCATTGGGGTAATACCATTTTATTTTGTCATGGGACTCGCCGTGCAGGAGGTGTCGCTCTTTTATTCGCTCTTTTAAATTTTATATAAAATTTCAATGGATCAGTTATTGATTTATTTTGTCTTCATCAGAAGGAAGATGGTTAATGATTGTGATACAAATGGATGAATCTTCTTTTATCTTAGTTAATGTATATGGTTTTAATAGATCTCTTATGTCAGAGATTTCTTTGCTTGTTCTTGAAAAACGGCACGAGTTCCCCTCTGCTTACTTGATTATTGGAGGAGATTTCAGTGAAGCCCCTAATTATTCTGAAGACCGATATCCTCCAAGACAATGTCAAAATGCTATTAATCTGGTCATTTCTGTCAATCTCTAGATTTGATTGATGCATTCAGATTTCTGTATCCTTGTTCCACCTCATTTACAAACTCAAAAATCTCGCATTGATTTATGGCTAGTCTCTGTTTCTTTGATTTCATCTTTGTCTCTTGTAGTCCTTCACCACTAACTGATCATTGTGGTATTGATTTAATATTGAAGCCAAAAAATTCTAGAACCTATAACCCTGGCTACTGGAAATGAAACTGTTCCCTGCTTCTTAATGATTCTCACTGCGCAGCTATAAAAAATTAAAAAAAACAATGATATCAAAACAAGGACAGATGTATCTTTTATTGCCAAATGGGAGCTCCTTAAATTTGAGTGCAGAAAATTTTCAATTTATTTTAGTAAAAAACTTAAATATGCAAAATAAAATATAAATATGCAGTTATTATATTTCTGATCTTTTAAATAAACAGCTCTCAGAAGAAGATCAAAACAGGCTATTTTCTTTACAAGAGGAATTCAATTCCTTGTATCTTGAAAAACCAAAGGGAGCTTTTGTAAGATCTAGAGCCAAATGGCTTGAATTTGGCTAAAAAAATTCAGCTTGCTTCTTTAATCTTGCCAAACAACATGGACGAAAAAGGTCAATTCACTCCCTTCAAATTGATGGCTCTATTTCCTCTTGTAAAACTCGGATATCTCAATTTGTTTTTAATTTTTTTTAAATGATATTCTTCTGCGTTTGATAATCTTGTGGCTGATTCCTTTTCTTGATAAAGTAACTCCCTTTATTCCTCAAATCTCGGAACGTAATAAATCAGTTTGTGATGTGCCACTTATGCCTTTTGAATTGTATAAGGTTTTCTGGGATCACATTAAGGACTTGCTTTTTGAGGCTTTAAAAGAATGCATAGATCAAGGAGAACTAACCACCTCTATGAAACAAGGTTTAATCGT